AACAGAGGCATAAAGCAAGGTTGTGTCTTTTCACCTGATTTATTTAATCTGTACAGTGAGAAAATTGTGAAGGAAGACTGAGGATTTAACAGAGCTGACTGTTGGTGGATAGAATTCGAACGACTTGCATTATGGTGATAGCATAGTTTTAACAGCCAATTCAGAAGAGAAGCTGCAAAATATTTTTGACAAAATTGTTATGAAAGTGAGAAGAGAGGTTTAAGTATTAACTGTAGAAAAACAGATTGTATGATAATTACAAAGAAGATCGTTCCTGTAGGTATTGTCAAAGTACATAAGGAACGGATAAGACAAGTCATTAAATTCAACTACCTGGGAAACTAGATAATATCAGATGATAAATATGATTATGAAATAAAATAAAGAATAGGGATGGCATAAAATGCACTTCTGAAAATTAAAATGGTTCTGACAAATAAATTTCTATGAGGACAAAGTTAACAGTTTTTGATTGCTATGTCATACTCATTTTTATGAATGCATTGAATGTTGGACAATACTGCCAAGTACAGAAAAATGAATTGAAACAGAGTTGCGGTCCTTAAGATGCACCTTGAAGGAATGTTGGACGAGTCACACCTCAAATGAAGATATTTTATCAAGAGCAGATTACAGGAGGAAGCTGCTGACTAGCAATAAGAAAGAGATGTTTGAAGTTTCTCGGACACATTATGAGGAAAGAAATTGAAAGTCTGGTTATAACTGGAAAGACTGTAGGAAGGATAGATTATGGAAGACAAAGGTTGACTTGTATCAAGAGTATCTAAATGGATGAATGTATCAACACTGGAAATTCTTGGTAGAGAGAGAGAAATATTGTACCTATGTAAGAATCAATTCTTCAAGTATATATTTCAAGCTTTCACAAAGTTAAATATTTTTTTTATTACAATGTTCTTATTTTTCTCAGCCTTATACTCTTGTTATCTTGTTTAAAAATGTTGAAGAACAATTAAATAATTTTAGTTACACTTTAGAAAGCAGAAGAATATATTATTTACTCAGAGATTACAAGAAACATTTAAAACTCATTATAACTTTTTTTTTTTATAGTTACTGTTGCATTGAATGTGATACAGTCTTCCCAGAATTTGGATGCAGAGAATTTTCGACGGAGTGCAACAGTGTCACCATGCACTACAGCTTGACAGACAAATATCAGGCCAGCTGCAGAATGATATAATGGCAGGCTTGTGTAGTATATTTCATTATCTGGCATGTTCAGCATCCAACGTGTACAGGTTCCCAGCCAAATAAACCTGTTGTGAAAAGGTAAATGTTTAAATCATATATCATCCATAGATTTAAAATGAAAAACTAATTATATTTACTTTCAATAAACTCTTACAAATCAAGCCATCATATATTTAACCAAGATAATGTTTCATCCATTTGAATAATTTCCAGAACACAATATTTATATCTATTTAATCAATTTCTTTAAAGGTGGGGAAAAGGGTTTTCCTTAAAATGTTTAAACCATATACATATGATAAAAAGAACGTAGTTGTGAAAAAGCCTGGGTCATTTCCTGAGCAAAGCTTTCAGGCCTCATGATATTTCTATTAAAACTGTAAAAAAACTGAAACAGGAGAAGTTCCTGATGATCAACAGAATGCTAAAATTGCAGGTACATTAAATAAATAAATACATTTATAAACAACAACCTTTTTTAGTTTACATAATAAAATGTTATTTTTAATTGCACCTGATCTCATATGACTGAGTTTATTGTTTCACCGAGGCTCTGCATATCTCAGTGCTGTTTCATACACAGCAGTTTTAGAAAATGTTGAATGAGTTAATGAGCCTTTTAAACCACATTTATTGAATACAGTGTTTCAAAATGTTTGCTATGCAATTTTTTACAATAAATAAACATCTTACTAATAAAACAAGTCAAACTAATGCATCTGTAAAAGTCTTCTTGGACTTGTGTAAAATCATATAAATATATGCAGTAATAAACAAAACCTTTTTTAGTTTACACAGTAATATTTTAGATTTATTGTTAACTTCAAATATAGAAATGATTGAGATGTAGAAATTGGGGAACATCTGGGTACAAGTGATCATTGGTCTACTAGGTGCAATGTTTTGCTGCATGTGGAGATAAGGAATAATGATATTTTGGTTACAAATTTCAAAAGAGTAAATTTTGAAGGGATGCAACAAGAATTATCTGCTGTGAATTGGGCAGCTGAGTTAGTTGGAGACACCGATCAGATGTGGAAAATTTTTGTAAATAAATTTTTAAATATTCAAGATAAACATATTCCTTATACAACGAAAAGGGTGGCTGCAAGTAAAACATTGGCTCACAAAGAGTATAAGAGATCAAATTAAAGAAAAGTATCATGAATTTAAGAAATATAAACTGACTAGTATGATGGGAGATTTAGGAAATTATTGAAGATCAAGAGAGTTAGTCAAACAGGAAATTAGGACATTAAAGAGGAAATATGAAAACAGGTTGGATGAAAATGTAAAAATAACAGTAAAGATTTCTTTAAATACATTAAGAGTAAACAAACTGAACAGTTGACAGATGGAAACAAAATAACTGCATAAATATTGAGCTTTTTTAGACAAAATTGGGAAGTATAATGAACAATAAGGCTCCTCAGTCAGGTAATATTTTCCCAAGGGTTTTGAAGAAGTTTAAGGATTGGATATGTGAGTCACTTGCTACTATTTTTTTTGTAAGCCCTTGAATAGTGGACACATGCCAGAGGATTGGAATTTAGCTAATGTCATTCCTCTTTTCAAGGGAAGTGATAAGAATTGTCCCAGTAATTATAGGCCTATTAGTCTCACATCAGTTGTGGGAAAAGGTTTGGAAAGTCTGATAAAATATGTTTTGCAAAACCATTTAAGAAAGTTTATAATGGTTTCATTAAGGAAAAATCTTGCCTCACAAATCTTTTGACATAAATGATCTAAATCCTTTTGTAAAGCAGCAGCATCCTCTTCACAGCCACCAACACCCAAAACATTAATATCATCAGCAAATTTAAGTAATTTATTGACTATTCATACATCTTTGTCATTGATTTAAATCAAAATGAGCAAAGGTACTTATACTAAAGTACCCCACTTGTAGCATTAATCCAGTTTAACTGTACTCCATTTATAACAACTCTCTCCTTTCTTTCAGCAAGACACTCTTCTATCTAATTTGCTAACTTATTCACCACACCTACAGAGAAGATTTTTTTACAAGCCTTTTCTGTGGCACCTTGTCAAATGCACCTTCTGAAAATCCAGATACACCAAATCTACACCATTATCCTCATCTACATAAGCAGTAACCATCTGAAAGAAGTGATATGGGCAAATAAATGGCAAATGGGTTTCAATTATAATAAATGCAAGATAATGCATATGGGTTACCACAATTTGGATTGGAATAACCTTAACAGTGTCATGAAAAAAATGGATCTTGGTGTAATAGCTGACCAGTCTCTTAAGCCATCCAAGCAGTGTGTTGTTGCTAGAGGTAGGACAAATAGGATATTAGGTTGTATATACAGAAATACTGAATACAAGTCTAAAGAGGTTATAATTTCACTATATAGGTTACTGGTCAGGCCACATTTGAAGTATTGTGTTCAGTCTTGGGCTCTTTACCTTAGGAAAGACATTGAATTGTTGTAAAGGGTTAAGAGGAGGGCTATTAGAATGATACCTGGGATGGAGAGGTTGTCACATATGGAGAGGTTGAAATCTATCAAATTGTTTTCTCTTGAAAAAAAGAAGCATGAGAGGGGATCTGATTGAGCTGTGTAAGATTGTAAAGGGAATTGATAGTGTTGATGCATCATCTTATTTCATAGTTAACAGACTAGGGGACACAAATAAATTTTGGCAGGGCAGGAGTCATCTTCAGCTAAGACAGTTTCATTTTTCTAACAGTTTGGTTGGCCTTCTAATTTTGTGGAGGCAGTAAATTTAAGTGAGTTTAATAGAAAGCTTGGTAACTATATGAATGACAAGAGCTGGCTTTAAGATTTATTTTTTTAAATAGTTTTAGTTTAGTTTAGAGGATGGAACAGCCGAGATGGACCAAAATATTATGCTATGTTATGTTAATAAAATGAATTTTATTGTGCAAGCTAAAAAAGGTTGTTGATTGTTATAGTATATATTTATTTATGATTTTATTTTAGTATCCAAGAACTTTTACAGATGCATTAGTTTGACTTGTGTTATTAGTAAGATATTTATTTATTGTAAAAGATTGCATAGCAAACATTCTGAAACACAGTATTCAATAAATGTTTTTTAAAAGGCTCATCAACTTTTTCTACATTTTCA